ACTATATGACCCATACTTCTTTGATTATATGCTGGACTGATGTTTGGATGCCTTGCTGACACTGTGAATCACAATACAACTGTTATATTGATATTATGGCCATAGACACACAACTAAATAAGGTGAAGATGTACTGTAAAAAAAGATTAGAGACTATAAGATCAACTTTATTGAAATGATGCAGAGAAATTGAGGCATCACAGCAGCAGTAGTACATGTTGGTCATAAATAACACCTGTTGTCTAGAAGAAAAACAACAGTTGCTCTTTCTCCAGGAAGCTGAAGTGCATGAGTGAACACAAACAGAGACAGGAGGAACACACTTTGGGTTTCTTGTTGGCCAGTCAAAGCTCTTTAAAACAGCATGTTGGCACAGCACGTGAGGAAGCAGGCTAAATAATGCTCTGAAGTTAGGCAAAATTTTGGTGAGGGAAAAATTGGCATGGCCATTTTTAAAGGGGTCCCTTAAACTCTCACCTCAAGATATCTGAATGAAATGGGTTCTACGTGTACCCACGAGTCTCTGCTGAACTTGAGAAGGCTTGCTCCTCATAAATGTTTTGTTCCTTACAATCGATGTATTCTGTCAAATTAAAGCTGCATAGCATTTGCCTTTTTAAGGAAAGGACAACAAGGCTGTTTGAAAAGCAATAAGTTGCCTAACACATGTATACACAGATACACGTTAACATGGGATTGTTGTGGAACTCAAAATATAAACCGTACCAGTACTAGTCTATGCACATCACATAATTAGTAATCTAAACTGTTAAATAAGATACCAAAGTAAATCAGTGTGTGTTTCTTTAATTCTCCATATTGACAGTTTTCAACTAGCCTACATTTTACCAAAGTATGATGGAATTCCTGAAATTCAGTTATGGCTTTTGGTTTTGGTGTGCCACCCCAAAATTTCAAGTGGTCCCATCATGCCATCCATATGAAATTTTAGGGGGAACCACTGTTAAAAGTTGACAATAGATCTGACAGTAAATGGTCCAGAAAATGGTCAGAAAATAAAATAAGTCACATGTCAAAGGTCAAGAGGAATCATCTAGGAACAACCATCTATTGTTTACATATAACCCATTGTCATGGAGAAAAAAGACACTTTGATAGCACACTTTTGCGCTGACCCTAGTCTACCATTGGCTGGAGCTGAGGGGAATGTCATTAGTTAGTATTGGAAAAACTGAAGATTGGACCTGATGATAGCCTAAGATGAAAAGGCAATTTCCAAGGTTATTAAAAGTCATTTTGACTGGGACATGGATGTCTACACCAAATTTCAGGGTACTCCATCCAATAGTTGTCGAGACACTTTACTTAATAAAACCTCAAAGGAATACTCACTGTGGCTCTAGAGTAACGGTCAAGAGATTACCAAAGTCATTAGGATTCAACATTTGGAGCCACAAATTTTAGTGCCTAGCGATATCCAAGTGAAAACTTTGACCTGCTGGTGACACTATAAGAAAAATAAGGAGATGACCAAGGACAGTAGGATTCATCCTGATGGTAACATGAATGTCCATTGAGATATATCAATCTGGACGAAATTGGTTGACCAGGCGGTACTGCTGTTCCTAGAGTAATGCCGCTAGCTAAAACCTACCTAAGTACATTCAATACAGAAAGCATTATACACCTTACCCTTTTAGTTCCTAAGGAAAGGGAATGTTTCTGAGTAATGGTATGCAAATAAAAGTGTGCCCAGAGATATTCAGATGACAGATTCGGGTCAGCCCCTGACAGATTGTTTGGACAAGAGTTAGGGGGAAAATGTTGAAGCACCATCAGCACATAGGCAAACACAAGAGGGGCACACCTGGAAGTGAGAATTGATGCTCAGCGTGTTGTTAACTTGTCTAAATAGAGGTTTATGAATGATGATGACAGTACATGTGTTTATGTAGGTGAGTAAAAAGTGTTGTAACCAACAGTTTGGCAGTTTGGCACTGGTTTTGTGATTTATTGGTTCAGTGCCTCTGTTATATTTTTAACTTGACAGTCAGCAAACAGCCGGAAACCAAGGGTCGGAACAGATTAGGAGCACACACACACACACACACACACACACACACACACACACTCAGTGTGCACCACTATGACCAACATACAAACTTCCTCCTTTAGCAATGGACTGAGCCAAAGGCTGGAGTGGTGAAGAAATGAAACCACAGGAGGGGACATATTCCACTGCAGAATCTGATGCAACTAATTGATAAATAATGATGGCATATACTGCACATAATAAAACCCACATTAAAGTAAGTTAAACCACTGATTTATTACAGCTTACAAACTATTCTTTTAATCTAAATATTAAAACTATGACAAACATACTTTATGTAACTGTGAAATACTTTGATACATAAAAAAAAACACAGTTAAACCTTTATCAGTCTAGTGATTCAAAATTTACTTTAACAAAAATTTAACTCAACAACGCATCTTTTTAACTCTTCTGATGTGACAGTTTGAGTGATTATGAACAGACTCTGCTAGCACACAATGACCTGATGCACATCTCTGACTGATGTCATTCACACCTCACTTGTGCTTACCTCTCTCAGTGTGTGTTCCTGGTTAAGGCAAAAGTTCATCCACTGTGAAGTTTTTTAGTCCTCAGATTTCTTCTCTTTGACTTTCATCCGAATAACTGACAGACTGGTGGACAGACAGGCCGGTGGATGCACAGACTGATGGTATCTGGCTCGACAAGTTGGTCAGCCGGTCGACATGGACTGTGACATTCAGCCAACAGAATGAGGAACTTGGAGAAACTGGTGGGGGATTTTTTTCTTACTGAAACTTCCTGGTACAATTGTCTAATGATTATTTGCATAATCAGCAACACACACAGACACACCCACATACTCACACATACTGGGGCACTGCAGACAAATGATCTTTTAGATCTTAATACACAGAAACACTACATTTGTCAGTGTTAAAGTAAAGAAGAGTTTTCCAGTATGTCATAAAATACATAAGCCAACAGAATCCCTTTAGGAATAAAGATTTTAACTTATTCATCAACTACTTCATCTTAAGTTTGTTACTAATGTTTATGTATGCTGAACATAATATAAAAAGTTTAGTTTTTACCTTAGTTTGAGTGTCATGCCTGTTTTTGTCATAAATTCTCCCACAGTGCTACCTGTTGGCCAAACTGCAGAAGTACAAGACAAGAAACTTCATTTACTGTCCTCAGTGATTTATTTTTTTGACACACAGAGTAGAAAATATGGTTATAGACAGTCAGACAAACACCTACACATTTAGCAGAATCATGCACCTGCTATATTTCTACATGCTGAATTATGAACAGCTGGGTTTATACAGTATTGTTGAAGTGGGTGGGAGTCACTACACAGTCACATGGCAGTTTACAACTTGAAAACCTGATTGAATGAGTAATATAAAAAAAGAGTTATATTTTCCATATTATTGTCAGCATGAATAGGAATGAGACGCAGTCAAGCTGCAGTGTTACAGTGAGATTATACTAAGCAAAACTGGGGACAAAATAACAGAGTACACAGTTTGATCAGTGCATGCATGATGGTCTCTACAAGATGGTGATTATGGGATGTATCCATTATTACACAAAGAAGCAGGAATGTAGTTCAGCCTCAATGTCAGGGATAGAAACTTTCACACAAACATGTTACATTTACTGGAAGCTCCACTGAGTATTGCATATCTACATTTACGGAATAGTTTGACATTGTGGGAAATACACTTATTGACTTTACTGATGAGAAGTTGAGAAGACTGATACCATCCTGATGCCTGTACGCTAAATATGTAGCTGAAGCAAGCAGTTGTTTAGCTAAGTTTAGCTAACTGGCTTAACTATCTTTTCTACGGCTGGGCATAAATTGACACTTGTTTTCTAAAACAAGAAGAGCAACATTGCCCCCTCTTTGCCAGGAAACCAAAGTACATGAAAAAACACACAGAACACACTCAGTTAATCTGGGGGCTGATAAATGCTCTTCAAAACATCAGCAAATCTACAACAAATAGTAGGTCAGAGGTCAAAACTCAGGTGGAGTTTGCGTACAAGTTATCAGGGTTGCCACACCTTCTCCAACACCAAATTAAAGGTCTTTTCAAGGACTTTCAAGGCCCAGTTTTCTCAAATTCAAGGACCCCACAAGGTATGGTTAGAGACATGGATCAAGGTTAATTATTGTTACAGCATTGCCAAGTTTATAGCAGGCTTTACAGAAGCACACAGATAACAAATTAAAAGATAGAGGCTTGAATTGTGCTGTGTAAGGCCGAATTTATACTCGTGCGTTGAATCAACGCCACACCCTACGCCGTAGCTTGACGTGCAGCCTCCCCAGAAACTAACTACATGTTGCGGCGATGCAGACCTCTTGTCTATTTTTGTAAGTTGAAACCATTTCCCTCAGTGGAAATAAAACTTCACGGATAAGAAACAATAAATTGTGAAGACAACAAAGCCTCCCCAAAAATAGCATATAAAGTCTTGTGTGTGATTTATACTTCTGGATTTATCCTGGCTTCATATGAGCAGGGGTAATTTCTGCTCGTCTCTAGGCTAATTTATACAATGTCAAATGCCATTGGCTTGTGCTAATAACATTAGCATTTTATATTTGTTTGGAAAATGAGTTTAATATAAGACAGTTGTTTTGTCAGTGAACCTTGTGAGTTGTAATGGAGCTGAATTATGTCATGTTACCTTTGTTAAATGCTGCTGTTGTCCCTGGCTTCCTACAAGAAGAGGAAAAGTTTGCTAGCTGCAAGGCTAATTTATACAATGTAAAATGCCATAGGCTTGTGCTAAAAACATGTATAGCATGTATAGCATGTTGTATTTGTGGGGAAAATGTGTCTGGATTAACACAAGTGCTATGTCTGGGAATGCTGCGAGTTATAGTGAAGCTGATTTGTGTACTTGTGTTTGAAATTATCTCTATTAAGCCATGTTTAACCTGTGTTTTGGGTGTGTTTTAAATCAACTAAACTTTACAGCACCGCCGACCAGTGTTTTTGAGGTGTAACTGCAGAGTGACACAGACACACCACCGCAGAGGTATAAATGCCCACAACAGTGTTGGCCACGTGCGTAGGTCTGCAGCACGAGTATAAATCCCACCTAACAGTAATGGCAGACCATATCAAAAGAACTTCGACATTTATTCTTTGGCAAAATATCTAAATTCGAACACTTTAAATGATCCAAGTCTATTTATGTCTAATTTTAAAAACTTTCAAGGCCTTGATTGGATTTCAAGGACCCGTGGGAACCTGTGGCATCAGTCTTCTCAAAACTCTTGGCAAGAAAGCAAGTAATAAGTAGAGCAAGTAGAGTATTTCCCAAAATTTAAAACTGCTCCTTTAAGGTTGTGATTATACATAATGGCATCATTAGAAAAGTGTTTTCTTTTTTAAAAAGTATCAACATTTTAAAAGATAGTACACCATCATCATTCTTTTAACCACTGAACCATTGAAATATGTCGTTCCTACTGTACTCACTGTAAATGTACGGCATTATTAAGTGCTGTTGGTCAACATAACAGTGTCATATTACCAACCAGTCTGCTGCTTTCTACAGTACAAGCCAGTTTCACACTTGACTGGATTTTGTCCATCAAACACAACAGATTTAGTGAACACACCTTTCAACAGATAAAGTAACCAAACCCCAGTGTTTTTATTCATGGTGTTTCACTACAGTTGAGTAGTCCAATTCCCTCCAAAGTATTGTCAATTCAAAGGAAGCACAAGCCATTACCTGGCAATATAATCTCTATCAGCATCACTACAAACATGCTACTCCCACTGTGACCCATTACATCAGCACGTCTCAGCGGTCTTACAAATTGCCTGCACAACTACAAATTCACATCTATTTTCTTTTTTCATTCCATCCATCCAGCCTGTGTGTTTAGTAACTAAGACTGAAAGTAAAATCAGCTGTACATGAGCTACAGATTTGACTCTCTGCTTACTCCAACTCTGAAATACACCCCTGCCAACAGTCTGTTATTCTAGTGCACAGCAGAGCCACAGGGACATGAGAGCACTGGGTGATCACATCGCAGCACAGCACAGCGCCTCTACAGTGGATTTAGTGGGGTCAGTGCCCTGTTTATAGGCACCTCAGCAGTGGTGGTGCTACCCTCCAGCTACCAGACCACTGTGGACCACTGGCTTCATCACAATGGCAGCTGAAATCCATCTTGCAGCTCTGTGTCCACTGGCAGGAGTGTGTGGCAGGTTAGCTGTTCCTCTGCTCCACCTCCCTGTGGGTCGATGAAGAAGAGCTCTGGCTGTCCTCAGTGTCGTTTCCATCTGCAGAAAAATGAGGAGAGGTAGGAAATTTACAGGATATAAATATTAGTAGGACTATATCAGTATTTTTGAATGTTTCAGGCTATATTCCTGGTACCCAATCATCTTTAACTTTTCAGCCAAGCTGGTGGCATGACTCTAGGGATAGCAATATCAGTATACTGGCCCAGCGGTGCACAGCTTTAGATGAGACTAAAACATCTCAAGATAAATTGGATATTTAAGGTCCACAGAGGATGAATTGTAATAACTTTGGTGATCCCCAGACTAATGACATTCCCACCAGCATCAGCTTCACTTCTTTAGTGCTAATTAGCAAATGTTAGCATGCTAATATGCTAACTAAGAAGACAAATTAGGTAAACATTACCTACTGAACATCAGCATGTCATCCTTGACATTATGAGCATGTTTCTTGGTAGTAGGGCTGGGCAATGTAACGAATATGATATATACCGATATATTTTCAAGTAAGATATAAATTTAGACAACACTGTTTATATTGATATAGGATCAAGTTACGTTACATGACATGAAATCACGGCTTTTCGCTAGTCTAATGTATACAATGTAAAATGCCATAGGCTTGTGCGTTAGCAAGTTATATTTGTTTGGAAAATTGTTTGTGAACCTTGTGAGCTGTATTGGAGCTGAATTTCGTAACGTTACCTTTGTTAAATGTTGCTGTTGTCCCTGACTTCATATGAGTAGATGAAATGTATCCTAGCCGCTAGGCTAATATATATACAATGTAAAAGGCCATAGGCTTGTGCTAAAAATATTAGTATGTTGTTTCTGTGGGGAAAATGTGTCCAGATAAAGACAAGTGTTTGTCTGTGAATGCTGTAAGTTATAATGAAGACGATTTGTGCACTTGTGTTTGACATTGTCTCTATTCAGCCATGTTTAATGTATGTTTTAGGTGCGTTTTTATTCAGCTACACTTCACAGCACTTCACAGAAACCCAGCCACTGACTAGTGTTTCAGAGGTGTAACTACTGTGCAGCTGCATATTTTCAAACAGAAAATACCTAGATATATATCATGTATCGCCAGTCAGCCTATAAATACCGAGATATGAATTTTTGTCCATATCACCCAGCCCTACTTGATATTAGTATTTAGCTAAAAGCATCACTGTGCCTAACGGGAGACTGTCAAAATTACTATAGCATGTAGACTCTTAACAGTGTTACATTGACAGCCTTTTCTCCTGCCATTCAGGAAGCAATTCACAACAATGTTGTACAAAAGTCAACTCACACAAGATAACTCTCTCTCTGAATCAAACATTTGTTCTCCAAGCCAGCTTTGTAGCTGCCCCTAAAAAAAGCAAAGTGCACAACAACACTAGGTATTTGCACGAATATCATTTACCAGCCTGCTAGACTTTGTGCAGTGAGATTTGGCATATGGTACAGAGCTAAAAAGCCAAAGCTGATGTTACGCAGATGTTACAGGTCACAAATAAGTGACGCACAACCAAGAAAAGACTGTTAGCTTTCACAATCTGTCTTTTAAAAGCTGAAAGAGCAAAAGTATCCTCATTTTAGCTGGAACACACCCCCTTCACAAACTCAATAAACAAATAAATAAATACAATTCTGAACCCTTTACAACTTTACTTACTAAAAAACTGTACACCTCTGTGTATGTATGATATTACTTTGCATTATGCATACACATTTACTACATCCCTGTTTACATTCTATTCATTTGTAATATTGTCTACCACAAATTTAAATTATTTTATGTTTTATTTATGTTTCTATTTTATGCCTATATTTTAACTATTGTATTTCTTGGGTTTTTATTTTGCTTTCTGTTGCCTGATTGTCTTTCTTTTTTTGAATACATATTCAATGGCCATTGTTGGAGGCTGAGATCTTAGATTTGTATAGGCAATGAATGCCTTTCTATAACTGTACAGCACAAGATAATAAGAAAGACAGAATTCATAGATTTTCTCTTAAAAGTGAAAATTTAACTTCTGTTTCATAAACACTTTCAAACATATCCAGGATCCATAGATAGTAGTAATAAAGTGACTGCACATATAAGTGTTAAGTTACGGTTTAACTTTTGGAGCACATAAAGCTTCTGATAACATACAGAAATACTTAAAAAAAAAAAGCTTTTATTGCTACGGTAGATCCAAAGAGCAGGGTCATTTCAAACAGCATGGCTGATGCAAATTGGAAAACATCATTTTTAAGTCTTTTTTTCTTCAACAGTGCCTCTCTTTTCTTAAAATACACAATCCCTAAACTGCAGGGCACCTTCATTCATGGCCTCCACACCTGGCTCCAGGCCTGCTACACACAGAGACCCAGCAGAGCTGTTTCTAAACTATTCTTGTGAAAAACGATGCTATCATGAGAGTAAGGATGATGTTTAGAACAGTAAAAGGAACAGAGGATAAACAATAGAATCTTTAAATTTATATAAGTAACATTTTCCTCAATTTTCTATACAGATGTGTTATACCTTATCAGTGGCATCCTCTAAAACTACAGACAGTAAACCTGAAGGATAATGGGATTAGACTGTTAGAGCACAGTTTTGGTTCACAGTACACTCTGACTTACTGATTTACTGACTTTTATATTGATACCATCATGACACATTTTCTCAAACAAAGTAATTTGGTATGGTTGTGAATAACAATCTTGGAAACCTTGCTTTATCTGCAGCTTGTAGAATATATTAAGATGAAAGCTTAAGTGGAGATTTGTGTCAAAACCTGTGTTTTATTAACATAGTATGTACCTGCAATGATTTGGGGTGACAAAAAGTTACTATATGCTTTTTAAGGCAGTTGGCTAAAACCACATTATTTTTCTCTGATTTAGTGCCTGTCTCTTTAAGTTCCCCTCTGAAAAAGCCCAGTCGGCTGTGATTGGTCAGTGGTTCAGGGTCGACCAAATCTGTGCTTTTAGCATCTCTGCACCATCATTGCAGCCGGAGGAATAACGGTAATGGCACCATAGCGGCACTTTCTATCTTTATAGACTGTTATACTGGAAGTGCATTGCTAGGCAACAGCTTGGGTCCATGTTTACTTCCTGTCAGCTGATGTCATTCACAAACACTGCAAAACATTCCAACAAATAATACAAAGGGACCCATTTAGACTATTTATGTTTCAAGTTTGAGTTTAAAAGTTTCTGAAAATGGACTGTGTGCATTTCTCTGTGGATCGAGCATTTTTGTATTTAAAAGACGATGTGGAAATCTGACTGACAGCATTATGGGACCTTTAAAAAAAACTCTTACAGTTTCACCTCTGACATAGAACAAATCAGGTAAATAAAATGCATTAGTACACACAAAATCAGTTCAGAATAATCCACTTTAATGTGGTGCAGTAGTTTACCTCCCCCTCCTGCGTTGATGTGCAGCTGGGACAGGGACAGGGTGAGGGGCATTTCTCGTCCCTCGGGGTCGGTGGGACTCTGCAGAATGTCGTGCATGGCGTTCCTGCGTCCTGTCCTGCCGGAGGCGATGAAGTCTGCATACGTGGCCTCAACATCAGACATCGCTCGTGCATTGTTCACACAGCAACACCTACAAGAGGAGCAGCTGGAGGTTCAGCCCCATCTAGCACAGTGTGTGTGGTCATAGTGCATGATGCTCTTATGGGCAAGGCTATTTTATTTATGCAGCACATTTTATATCAGGTAAACTTGGGTAAATTTGCTTGAAAGACTGCATATTCATATACTATAGTATGGTAGTAGTATAAACGATATAGCCTACTATTCATATGCATATTTAATATGATATAACGTTATGTCACTCCACAAATATTGGTAGAACACACCTGACTGACACAAGACTGCAGTTTCGGGACATTTTCATTTGAATCACTACTCACTAGTTGTGCTTTTCATAAATGTTCACAGCTTTATAGCTTCCCAGTATTTGCAGCATCTCATGCTAACCCAGGCAGCCCATCCATGGTTAGGCCCACAAGTCAAGAATTAGATATAAACCCGGGCCCACAAGTCAAGTTAGATTCCCGAAATAACTCATGACGTAATTACATTATGTCTCAGTTCTGTTTCGGCCGTTTCTTACCTTCAGTGACAGCTCTACCAGTGTTGTAACCACAAGCTACACATCTAGGGAGTGACTTCACATACAACGCAGCGCCACGGGCCCGACATCACATCAAACCACCCAACAAAACAAACAACACAAAATAAAAAAAATACCGAATCCGACCCGCGACCAGAAGATAATAATCCCAAAGGCCTTACACTACATACCGCCGTGAGTCAATGCATGGCAGTCATTTAACGTTATTAATCACATCAGTAGGATGCTTTGCAAAGTCCCCAGTCTAATTCTCCTCCATAGCCATCGCATCTTCCTCCTTCGCGACCAATCAGCAGCCAGCAAACCGCATCTGCGCGCTGATTGGACAGGAGACACAAAAGGATGAGAGGAGAGAGCTCTGAGCAGCACCAGGCTTATGATGCGTTCAATGTCACCTCGTAAACCTTAGTTACCAGGCTAAAATATTTATTTGTATATCTATGATGCTGCTTTTCGGATGTTGCTTTTACAAAACAGTTTAAAAGTAATCGTTAAAGAAGCAGTACTTTACTTATAATAGAAATATTCAAATGGTTTTGCAGATTAGCATGGTTTTAGCTGATAAAACATGAAGAGGAAAAGTCCATGTTAATTAATTAATAGATCAGGGTTCACGTTGGCCTAGGATATTTAAAATTATTGACAACGGAGACTAACATATAGTTACAAATACAGGTAAAATCCAAGATTGCAAAGATAAAATATCAAGAATGAATTTACAATAATTATAGTGGAAATACGTGGAAAAATATACTACACAACTACTACATTTTTCATGTGCCCTGAACTCCTTGGACCTTCATTTCCCACAGGCCTCGAAGGCAGCTAAAAGCTATGTAACCACAGTATTCTTTTTATTTTATTTTTTCTTCATTAAATGCATTTTTATTCTTACCACAGCTAATGAATCTATAGCTTACACTGTCATTTGATGCAGCACAGGGGTAGCCATCTAAAATGCAGCTCAAATTTCAGAATAGTTAATTCATTTATTTTAAATGCCCTCTTTCTTTGGTAAAATCACTCATCATCCAGGGATCAAACAAAGACAGGCAAAATGGTTCATGAAAACCTTTTTTTTTTTGTCTTGATGTTTGCCCTCTCATGAGATTGAAGGTTGGGTCACATTTGGATTCAGTGTTGACTATATCTCTCTGAAAATACCCACTCTAAATCAAATTATTACACAAAAGAAGACATGCTGTGTGCTCAGTGACACAGAATACATTAGTGTGGAGGATATGTGCTCTGCTATGATGATGTGAAATTCGATTGAAACAAGATAATGCCAGGAGATCATTGTGTGCGATTCTTTTTTATACCACAGGATGGCGCTGCTGCCAGCAGGTAAACACAGCTCCCTGCATTCTACCTGCAATCACCACCGCAAATAAAAAAAAAAAAACACATATAGCCTATATAAACAAAGACTGCCTTGGGTAAGTGACATTACTCCAGTTGTTATTTTACTGTCTGAGTCAGTCAACAATCGTTATATGAAAGTATACTTTATATGAAATAACAATGTGAGGGTGCCTTATATGTGAGCTAAAGGGCCATTTCTGATATATTTTAGATATAATTTTTAAATCATATATTGAAATACCCTTAAATTAAGCACTGTAATCCTCTGAAGATGCTAAGGATTCAGTGTCTTGCTCACTGACACCAGTATCCATGCATTTTATAAAGCAGTTTTTCTGTACCAAGTTCATCCTGCTGTGCTGCACCAAGTGACATATTACAGGAATGTATCATTTCCCTCTGTGGGGAACCAACATCCAATGTCTGTATTCACCACATTCATTTTCTTTATAGTTCTATCTGTATTGTAAAGACAAAATATTGATGATTTAAGTTTCGTCCTGATGAGTTAAAGATAAATCATACAAAACTAACAGCTGCAATACACACACAAAAAAGAAATGTGTTGACATTGCCACACCCATGACTCCAGCTCACACACAGTATGAGCATCTTGTTGTTGTGGAAACATCTTCTCCTCTTTGTACTTGTGGCGCAGGGTTTCTGCAGCAGGACGCATTTGGGAAGTTTTTAAAAAAGGAATCTGATTAGTGGCAAAGAGTTGAGATAAGTTCACTTCCACCAGCTTCAGAAGCTTTACCTTCAGATCTGTGCTGGTGACAGGACCCACAGAGGCACAGCTCGCTTATTCACTGGCTGTCTGCACTGCTGCACTTTACCTCTCTGTCATCTGCCTTTATATATTATTCCAGCTGCACCTTGTCTCTCTGTGACTGATGTCTTCACAATGGCTGCTGCTCTATCAGCTGACAGGCCACCAGTCCATGAAATCAACAGAATTATGAAATTAAACAACTATTAGTCATAATTAAAATGTTCTGTACAGTCAGAGAAAAACTAATGTCATATCAGGTTGTTAAAGAGCAGTTTCAAGCCCCCCCCCCCCCCCCCCTTCCCTCTCCACTACTGTGCTTTATACTTCTACAGCAACACATTTCAGTAGGAAATATTGTTCTGTTTCTTCCACTGTTATTTGACAGCATTAATAACTAGTTAATTTTCAGATTAGGATTTTACTTATCTACTCTGTTATTCTCTCTGTGCTAAATCCACATCATGTTACACTTACTACCTTTCATTTTAAAAACAGTCTTAGTGTTACAGGGTTGCCTTTGTTGCTTCCCTGTTAGCTTAACTTTAAGCTTAGCCTATTTTACCAGCCTTTAAAAACCTGCAGTTGATACAGTCTTGCTAGTTGTGTTACGATGGCTCGTGTTAACTCTTCCACCTTTGCAAACATGGTGTCTTGAGCTTATTTATGTTTGTAGGCCCTATGTTCCCCAGCTCCATATCATCTTAATATAACTCATTTGAGTTTCACCAGTCCCTCCAGGGATTGATAAAACTAGAGATGGCAACAATTATTGCAAATACAGCCAATCCCTGTGAATTCTGCACGACCTTGCAATTTTGTCCAATCACCCAAGTTTACAGCAAATATGACTATTTAAAACGAGTAAAATTTCATTGTAGAGCTATGTGCAGCATACTGATTCACTCAGCCTCTCTTTGTCGTGAGACGACTGCAGGGGGAACCAGTGCTCACACACACACACACACACACACAGTGACAGGGCTAGCCATTAGCATCAAATGGCTAACGTTACCCAACATTCTTTAAAAGGTTTAACAACAGAGTCGAGCCATTTGGGTGTTGGTGTCGATTGTTAACCGCTGCTGCAAGGCTTCTGTCTAGGCAGTAAAATATACAGAGTTGGGATGAGATCATGTTATGCTGTGTTAGCTCATGCTAACGGTGCTAACTGGGCGGAAAGAGCAGGAGACACCATTCTTCAGCGCTGCATCGAACAGCAACAACAACAGTCGGCAATGAGCTGTTGCAGATTCTAACTCTGTGGGAAACAGTTAATGCTCATAATAATAAGCTGTGAATCCATGGCAGCATTACAACTATTTTTATGATTTTCACTTGCCCCCCAATTTTACTATAATAAAAAATTGTTTTTTAGAAAAGCTGCCATGGAATCAGACATTTGAGGCTGCAACAATCACAAAAACAGCCAACAAAATCCTGGAGGGACTGTTTTATGTTCTCATAAATGTTTTTCCTAAGGTAAACTGCTATGGTTCCCTGGGTCAAAATGTTGAAATCATCCACCTACAGCTTATTGCCTACTGACGTTAACCTAAAATTTATGGGCAAGATAATTTTCTAGACATTGATATCTCCACAGTGGCTGAGCTGATTTTTACCATCGAAACTACATTTGAAACATTTACATTCTGTTGTTCTTTGCATTTTGAACAGCAAAGCTAGCCCTTACCAATCTCTTACAATGTCCACTTATATCAAGAGATAGCCTATAGGACCCTGGGAACATAGCAATGACATCATGCCTGTCAATTCAATTACAACAGCTCATCTCTGCTAACGCAATCTATAGATATTACAGGCACTTCAGACGCACACTAGTAATAGGGGAGTTCATTATCTACAATCTGGTAATTGGCTAATCTGCGGGTACTGTCATTTTGTAAGAAGAATCAGGGCACTTAGGTACACTCCACCAATGTAAGGATGAAGCAGTCAAAGATCACAGTTGTTTAAGTTTGCCAGAAAGATGAGTGGACATTAATTAATTGTCTCTGGTTCCTTACACGTGAGGGTTAATGATGAGACGTACAGTAGACTTACTTCCCTGAACTTACTCTAGGTTCATTTTGCTGTAAGTGGGAATTTGAATGCAGGACATTTACTTGCAAGAGAGTATTTTTTCATGGTTGTATCAGTACTTTTCCTTAATTAAAGGTGTTGAATACTTTTCTCACCACAGGTTTTCATGTTGTAACAGTAAGCATTGCCCACTCCTCTGTGAACTGAAGAAAATCTGACCTGTTTGGGTTGATGATGCCCAAACAAAGGCATCATCAAGCACCTGGTGCTCAAGAAAGCAAGAGACACGGGATGTTTATCTGACAGAAAAAATAAGTAGCTGTATGGATGCACTGGTTTAAAGATGAGCTCTAGTTCCTGTGCTCACAGTTGTGTTCATCCCATTATAGCTGTATGGTTTATGGCAGCTCGGAGTGGATCAATAAAACCTGCAGTGTCCTCCTCCAGTGTGTAAACGTTAGAGTTTTCACTCTCAAGCTGACTGGTGAACAGTTCTCTTCAGTGTACTAAATCACAGAAATCCTCTCATTAAAATGATTCTTTTAAAAAGATTTGTTCGCCATATTGTTCAGTGCTTGATGAGAACTCTGACTGTGCATAGTGCCACTCTCTGAACTGAAACACAGCTGGATGTTTGGTTTAGCTCACTAACTAGCAAACTGAGAACAGATCATTTAGTTGGATACAGTTTGAAAACTGAAATCTGAATTCCCACCCTATTATGTACAGCTTGTACATTTTGCGACATAATTATGAAATTAAATATTGGAATTACATCCTACTTTGAGACTTCAAGACATGAGAGGGAGGGAGAGGGAAAGGTCTGTCACTCAGGGCTAACGTTCACTGTGTAGTACGTTCAGTGAACGAATCACTGAACATCCAATCACTCACTCAGTGAGTCCCTGCATGTTTGCTTGCCACTGACTGAGAACTCAACTGAACTGAGAAATGAACGGATTGTTTCAGGAAGTGATTCAACCTGCTCACCCAAAAGATTTGTTCTTTTGAACGAAACTTTTGCGAAAGACACAACCCTAGCTGACAAAGACTGTCTCTGCCCACAGCTTCTACCTGTTTCTTTGATTT